CTCCATGTGGGAACCTTCTAGCTCCATCCTTCCAACATACCTGCTCGTAGCTCTGTTTAAATCTGGCCTCAGCTCTCCAGTGACAGTGCAAATGCTGATCAGAGCAGAGCCATGTGGAAAACCATGATTACTCTTGCTTCTTTGTTTTCCTAGAGCTAAGGACTGCCTATGCTTTTCTTCCTGCTTCATTTTATACACACTCACCACTAACTCGGGCACCATTTTTTTTTTTTTGTATACACCATTTACACTGGCACTTCCTGACTTTCTGTGGGGCAGTAAACACAAATGAGAAATGGCACACAGGGTGGGGGAGGTGACCACGTGCTGCCAGAGGCAGCAAGCAGCCCAGGGACCAGAGGACCCACACTCATGGCAGCCCACATCAACACGTGGCTTGGAAGGCCCTGGCCCACATCTCCTCTTTGAGGACATCCCAGAACATCGACAGATTCCATTTGTGCCATCAGCCCTCAAAGCTCGTAGCCTGTGCTTTCCTTGTCTTCTAGGTTCTGTATCTTCTTTTGTTTACTCCCTCGTTTTATTAGCACATCCTTGACTAGCTTCTCGAGAAAGGTACATGGGAGGTAAATATTTAAGACCTTGTTCATCTAGAAATGCACGTAATCCCTCCTTCGAACTTGCCTGGGCAGGTAGTTGGGGTGTACAGGTCACTTTCCATCCTGCCTGTGTCCTTCCAGTGTCACTGCTGAAGAGTATGATGCAGATCTGATCCCTAATCCTTGGCAGGGGATGTCTCTTTTTCCTCTCTAGAAGTTTACAGGGTCTTCTCTCCGTCCCCTATGCCCTAGAGGGTGGTGATGATGTGCATTTGGGAGGGTCTGCTCTCATCTGTGCAAAGGACCTTCTGAGCATCTTCTGCAGCATGGTGCCAGCTCCCTTGCTCTGGGGAACATTCCCAAAGGCACCGTGTACTCCCTCCTGTGCCTCTCCTCTGGACCTCCGGGACCAGTCCTCTCATGTTTCTTACCTTTTTATCCTTTTCTCCACCTCACTATCTGTTTCTTCTACTTTCAGATAAACTTTCTTAACTTTATCTCATAAATCTACTAAGATTTTCATTTAGTTCTAGGTATTTTTAGCTCCCCAAAGTCCATTTTCTCCTCTTTGGATTTCCTTTGGGTACCTTGCTCTATAGAACTATTGAAAGCCTGTTCTTACCCGTCTCAGCATAAGCAGGGCACAGTTTTCTGGAGGCTTCCTCTGCTCTGGTCCTCTGTTCCCTGGGGACTCACTTTCCTACTTATTCTGCTCTGTATTTTTCATGTTGGGGGTCTTTCCTCCACTGGACGTTGGGAATCCCTGACTATCTTTGCATCATCAGGCACGAGGGGACCCCTGCCTGCCATCTGTGGCTGTACTACGCATGTCTCAGCTGAGCTGGCCACAGCCCTCCTGAGTCTATCAGCTTCTCTGGTCACCACTGGGTAAAAGGCCCCCTTGGATGTGGTCCCAGCTGCTTGCTTCACCCCTGTACTCTGTTCAGGTCTCCCACCCTGCCTGGGCCTATCCAGTGCCCTCCACCTGCCCTCCCCAGAGCTGTGGTACAGATGAGCCCATAGGGCTTGTGATCAGATTGTGGGGTCCACCCAGGGCTTCTGACTCCAGTGGTCAGAGGTGGGGCCCAAGAATCTGCATCTCTCTTTAAGAATTTATTTTTACTGGTACATGTTTGCAGTACATTATGATTATATTTGTGATGGGAGCTGGCACATATACACAACACATCTTAATTCTTTTTTCATCCCTTTTCCCCCTATTCCCCCTCCTTCTATGTCTTAGTCCCCTTTCCATTTGGAAAATATCACCTCCCTGTTTCCTACTATCTTTTCCTCTGTCAAAGTCTACCATGCCTCCTCCAGTCTCCTCAGCTTAGCCAGCCACCCCTGCCCAGTATCCCTGCACTGTCCTGGGCTCCCTGGGAGTTTTGTGGCCTGTGCAGCCTGGTTCCTGCCCCATACATGGGCTGAGAACTGGCTCTCCCAAATCTGCCTGGTCACCAACCCTCAGGCACCCACTTTCCAATGTGAAAGCTTGTGGTCACATTCTTTCTCTCTCTGTGGGTGTAAGCCTTAAGAGAAATGAAAAACCAACCCCAGGGGCCTGGGATTGGGAGGTGCAGTTGGTCACCTGAGCAGAAATGCCCACCCTGCCCCAGTGCCTCCTTCCCATCCTCTAGCTGCCCACATCTGGCCTGCTTCTGCTCACCCTCATCTTCCGATTTCCAGTCAACCTTGGACCTGACTTATTCTCTAAGGGCAGCTTGGGGGTTTCTCAGTATCCCCCGGGTCTGAGGTAGAGACCCCTCTTCTGAGCCCATCTGCTGCAGCCTTGAACATGTGTCACTGCCAGACTCCTAGCTCTGGGTACCCAAGGCCAGCATGGGCCTGGCTGACAGGAAAAGTGTAGAGGTCTTACTAGAGAAGTGAATAAACCAGTCTCTGGGCAGAGACTCAGGACCGATATGTGACATTCATGATGGTGAGGGTGTCTCCCAAGGGCCCTTTCACAAAGACTCAACAAAAGCTCTCCAGGGACACACAGACAGCACAAGCCCAGAGATGTTACCCTAGAGGGTACACACAGAGTGGCTTGTGTAGCTGCAGCCCAGACCACAAAGAAGCCCTTGTGGTGGTGGAAGCCAGAAAGACAACCAGAGCTGCCACCCTCTGCTGGGCAGGCCCATGGGAGGGCCTTCCCTGCTCTTGGCTTCTGCTTCCCATCTGGGCTGAACGAAAAGTGGGATTCTTGGTGCGAGCCACAAAGCCTCTCAGGCAGCAGAAGACCCCTTCCACAGCATGCATGGTCGCCCCGCCTGGGTCAGCTGGGGCTCTGTGTGCTGCTGAGGGTGCATGATCAGGCAGATGTGTCAGCTCCAGCAGTCTCCCTCTGCCTGACCGCTGTCTGGGGCCTCGAGCAAAGGGTGCCAATGAGAAATGAAAGTCTGGAGCAGAGTGGGGCAGAAGCATAAAGATCCCCCAAATAATGAGGTGCTCAGAGCAGCAGCTGCAGCCCAGCCCCAAGCCCAGCTGGTTCTCACACGGTGTCGGTCATTTCCTTTGCTGCTCCAGGGAAGAAAGAGTGGGGACTCTGACGCAGGCCTGGCATATTTCTTAACAAGCCCAGATGCTCTGGGCCATAGAGAATGGTGTGGACTTGATAAGGCCAATGTTAGCACTTATCTGAAAACCTGAGCTGCAGAGGCTGGGCCAGGTGTGCAGGGGTGGGCACTGCTACACATCTGTGCTCACTGCTCAGAGGCCACACATGAGGTCCTGGGATGAGCAACTATGTAGGCAGATGTGGTCCTCCAAGATGCTGTAGGTGCAGATTCTTGCCTGCTGGCAGTCGGACCCCATGGCAGTATATGAGCTCCAGTGTCAGGAAGGAAAATGGCAAAGTAGGGACAGTGGTTGGTGTTGTCCAGGAGACATCACATGCTGAAGACAGCCATGGGGACCCGGAGCAAGATCAAGGGCAATGAAAATACAGATGACATGCAGTTACTGAGCACCCGCTATGTGCCAGGCTCTCTGAGGGTTTCTAGGCTTCACTGTCAGCAGGGCTACAACCACGTAAGTGACAGCGGATTTGAGGGAGGATGTAAATGGCCACTCCAGCCCCAGCCTGGCCTCTTCTAGGACCCATGCCTCACCATCTGCACACCAGCCCTATATGTCTGTCCCAGGTCCCCAGAGACACCATCTCAGCACTCTAATAAAGGCGGGAGCAAATGGGAGGGGACAATAAAGGGCCAACTCGGAGAATGTGAGCCATCTGCCTGACACCACGCTGAGCTCTGCACTGCAGGAAGGACCCAAGACGACACCTATGCTTTCCCAGCTTGAGGACACTCTCGGGGATGCTAAGCGCTTCACAGAATGAGTTGACAATTACATGAGAAGGAAATAGGAAAGGGGTTCACAGATGAAAGGCAACTCAGAAAAAAACGTGAGGTGCATATCAAGAAAATAGCTGCCAGCTGGGCATGGTGGTGGTGGATGTCTGTTAACTGTAGCACTCCGGGAGGCTGAGGCAGGAGTACTGCAAGTTTTAGCCTAGCCTAGGCAACTTAGTGACTTATTTAGATTCTATCTCAAAAAGAAAAAAAAAAATTTGGAAAAGGACTGAGGGGATATATATATAGCTCAGTGTAAAGGCCCTGGGTTCAATTCCCAGTACTGCCAAAACAGAATGAAACAGATGCCCCTGCAAACATCTCCCAGGGCAAGGTGACAAGGGTGGTCATCAACATCAGAGCTGCAGGATGGCAGGGCTGGGTGCCAGGGAATTTCCAGGCCACCATGAGACCTAGTGTGGAGCAGAGCCAAGCACTCCAGTATCACTGGGCCTCAGGCCCCTCAGCCTGCTGGAGCCTATGCTGTGTGGGGACTACTCCCCCACCATTTGTGCAGACAGAACCGTGTCTCTGCTGCTGCAGGGTGGACACACCCAGGGCGAGGCCTGCTGACTGCAATGCTCTCCAGGCACAATGTGAACAGACTCCGGCTGTCACTTCAGTGTGTCAGGGATGACAAGCACAGGTCCTGAGGTTACCACCTTGACTTACAGACTGAAGTGGGTATCGCAGGCTATCACTCTGTGGCCAGCCTTGCAGGCCTCTGTGGCAGGGCCCTGGTCTCTGTGAAGGGTACTTAGCACAGTGAAAGATGGCCCTGCTTTCACGGAGGGTTGGATTTGCTCATGATTAATGGGGCACACAGCAACTGATAAATGGTATTAATTTGTTTGAGGGGTCTGAGAAGATCTTGGTTGCATGCTTCTCCACAGCTGCCTGAGCTATTTCCTGTCGCCCACAGACCTGATGACTGACCCTGTTTGCACGGCCCCTGGTGATGTGGAGCAGCTCTGTGGGACACGGGGCTGCTGCAACCTGTCCAGCCATCCATGTGGCCCCGCTGCTCTGGCGGGTGCCTGGGGGACCTGACTGTAGGACGAGGGCCAGGGAAGGAGCCTACCTGCCACCTCCTTGGACGAGGGCAGGCCAGCGGTGGCCTCCAGGTCAGTGGGGACGGGGCCTCCTCTCTCCAGAGCATGCACAAGCCCTCGTAGCCGCTCGCACTCCTCCTGTAGCCGGTCTCGCTCCTCACGTAGGCGCTGCTTGGCCAGGCTGGTGGGGTTGAGGCTCATGTGCAGCACTTTGGTTCTGCTCTGGTCATAGTCGCCCTGTGGGACAGCACAGCACAGGGTCACCTTGGGGGCTTTCAGAACAAAGACAGAAGAAACAGGATGCTCACAAACCCAGCCTGAGACTGGAGAGCTGCTCAGTCTGGTCATGTCTCGGGTTGAGCATCATGAGGTGGGTGCCAGGGAGCTGCACAGCTGGCAGTCTCAGTGCTCATGAGCTGCAGTATGAGCCAGGTGAGGCTCCTCGCATGAGCAGGTTCTGCTTGCCTACTGCCCAACATGGGGCCAGGCTGCCTGCCACTGACCTTGAAGAGTCACTGAGCTAATAAGACAGCAAGTGCCACACACTCCTTGGGATATCAGTCATCAGTACACAGGAATTCCCTAGTCTCCTGGGGATTGAACCCAGGACTCTCATACTGGGCTGTATCCCCAGCCCCTTTTTATTTTGAGACAGGGTCTTCTTTAGCTGGCAAGTTGCCCAGACTGGGCTTGAACTTGCAATCCTCCTGCCTTAGCTTCCCAGAGTGCAGGGGTTACAGGTGTGCACCACTGCTCTCAGCTTTAAGTATCAATTTTAAGAACACATCACAATGCAGATATTCAAATGACTAGGTTCTTACTACCACACAGTGCAGCTGCAGGTGGTACTGCATTTATCTTCCCTCCAACAGGTGTGTAAGTAGAGGGCCCATAATTAAAAAACAAATAAGCCTTTTTAAAAATGCTTTTAGACTTATGGAGAAACTGGAAAGGGAGTGAAGAGAGTTGCCACAGACCTCACACCAGTCCCCACCACATCTCGTGGCGTGTGTGTGTGTGTGGGGGGGTAGTGTGGCCTACCTGTCATAGTCCAGACCCAGCCAGGGACCTCAAAGGGGAGGAACCAAGACAGATCTCCCAAGTATCACAACATGCTAGAGATCTATAGTCAAGGAGATTTTCAGTACTAGAGCAAAGAACAGCTAGATACCCTTGTGCCCTTGAGCTCACACCACATCCAAATGCTAATTCCAGAGGAATTGCAAAGGTAAAGTTTAAAGAAACACAGAAACACATCTTCATGACTATGGAGTAGATAGAGACTTAAAGATCATTCAAGTGCTATCATCCAGGAAAGGAGGACAGACCCCAGTCTCATGAACTCTGAGAGCTTATCTTCCACTGGAGCAGAGGGACCCTGGCAGAGTGGAGAGAGGCCTGGTGCATCTGCGGCAGAGGACTCTTATCAGAACTCACAAAGCACACAAAAATAAGCAAGAACATTTCAGAAAATTCCACTTAAAAAATGGGCAAAAAACACGAACAGGCACTTCACGGAAGGGACCCAAAGAGCTGGTGTGTACACGGAAGGCACCTGTGCATCATCAGGGGAACCACGTTGAACCAGTGCAGTGCCCATGCATGCAGGACAGGTTGCTGGACACACAATATGCAGCAGCACAAGCAGGCTCACTGCAGGCAGCTCATGCACATTGTGCTCACCTTCTGCCTGAGACTGGAGGCCGCCCTGCCCCTTCACTGACCCAGGATGGACTTTGGCAGGGTCTGAAGAAACTTGCAAGGTCACAGCAAGGAGCCATCACTATCCTGAGCCCTAGGGATCCCCCAGAAGGACAGGCCACTACAGGGCAAGGGAAGAGGAAGGCCTCAGCCTCCTCTGGGCCCCAGCGGCTTCACTGGGTTATTGCAGAGTGGCTGACAAGGCTGAGGATGCCCTGGAACCTGCTCCTGGGAGGCCCTGGCTGGGGACAGCACCAGCAGGGCAAGTGTGGCCCAGGGATGTGGCGTCACTGTATGGGCAGTATGCTACTGGGACTGGAGCCCATTCCTCAAGACACTGAACCACACAAAGCAGGCATTCTCACAGGCGGGGACTTCCCTGTGCCCACCTCTGGGGAAGTGGGATCATTCACTCAGACCACCAGGTGCACCTGGCAGAGGCTGGGTGGAGACCCTCTGCTAAGCATGGAGAGCCTTGACATCCTGCTCCACAGCAGTTCAAGCTGCTGTGGACTACAGTCCTTCCACCAAAGAACAGCTGTGGCGTACACTGGGCTGTGCCCAGCTTGGGCTCCTCACAGGGGTCAGAGCCTGCGGGTCTCTGACCAGCCACCCAGACTCCCCAGGATGTGCCTCCAAAGAAAAGCAGGGGTGGGGGAGGCAAAGTAAGATTCTGCCCATGTGCCACTTTCTGGAACAAAAACATGCTGATGTCCCTTCACAGCAAACTGCTGGTCCTGAAGTCCCCTTGCCTAAGAGGTCAGTTGGGACAGGACACTGACGTGGGCCAGAGACCTAGGAAGACCAAAGTGATGGCATGGGGCACCGCCAGGAGCAGCTGGATTTGCACACACAGCCCCTGGGCACCACTCTGTGCTGCCCCTCGGCTGGGAAGGGAAAGGCCAGCAGGAGGGAAGAGGGAGCCACAGCAGGCTGAGTGGGACAAGATTCCTGGGCTTCTCACAGGCTTTGTGAGAACCCTGTAAAACCCCCAAAGGGTGAAGATACTCCTGGAACTCAGCTGAATCATAGACCATCAGAGCTGACAGGGATTGTTATTTCACCCAATTTTAACAGTCTGGGTTAGATAACCAAGTGTGCAAAATCTGTACGCCCACGCAGCCCTGAGACAGCCCAATCACTGGGTCCCTCTAGGCAGACATACACTAGCCTCCTTCTCCTCAGGGAGCTGGAGAAGCCAGGTAGAGCAGGAAAAGCTGGCCCAACATTCCTGAGGAGTCCGATGGCAGGCCTGGGCTTCCTGAGGCGCCCTGTCCACCACCACCAAAGCCACATTCATGGGCACAAATCAAAATTTCCTGTAATTTTCATGTGTTCTCACCTTTTGATCTCTGCACACTTATTAACTGCTTCTATACATTAAACAGACGTTACCTGACTCCCAGAGGTGGCAGAGGCCTCTAGAGCCAACATGGGGCGGGGAACCAGGGCACTGATAGGCAGGGACATGAGCTACGCTAGGGAGCCGGCACAGGGAGGTCAGAGAACGTAACAGAGGGCGTGGTGGTCTCCAGACACATTTGCCACCTGGAACCTTCTGCAGTGTCCTCAGAAAGCCAGGAATGAAACCCTCTGTGTGACAGAGGCCGCTGACTGGCAGGTCCCAGGGTCTGGCGTACCTTGGAGGTGCGGGAGGGGTGAGCAGGCAATCATGGGGGAGATGGTGCCCGTCACGGTGCCCAGTGGGAGCGGGTACCCTGGTGAAGAGGCTCAACAAGACTCACGCTCCACTTCACACACAGGAAGTCGGCAGGGAGGCACCGAGGTCAGAGGTGATGGGCCAGCCGGGACACAGCCAGGTGGCGAGGCTGGCTGTGTGGTCCATGTCTCACCACCTGCTCCCTGTGCCACTGACCCTCCGAGAGCAGGGAGGGTCCCCCCCGCCCACTGTGTCAGAGAACAGTGTGGCGGCCACCATGGGAGTATGGGAAAGGAAGGGACAGCCAGCCCAAAACCCTTCTGCATCTGCGAGCTCTGAGGGGAAAGGCCCTTTCTCTATCCTGCTGGCAAGAAGTAATAGGATGCTTGGTGCTGGTGGAAACCAGTGCCAACACAGGTCTATGGCAAAGACTGAGAATGACGGTGACAGCCCATCACTCCCTGCTTCTTACCTGACGCCGACACTTCAATATGGACATTTTATCAGCTGGCTCCTGAGAAGGTCAGCTCTTCGGGGACTGGGGCTGTGTTTTGTCTACTATTGTGGCGCCCGGGCAGAGAACAGTGCCTGGTGTGGTGCTGAATCTGCGTTTGTTGAATGAGTGAGTGATAATTACAACATTTCCTGAGCCAGGACATGTCCCAGCAGACAAAGACGTGAGATCATTCATCAGTCACAATAAAGTGAAGTGAGAGCCCAGGAAGGACCTGGCCTCTCTCCTTTGATGGTTGCTATGGGCCCTCAGCAACCTCTCCTGCACACCTGCCTGGGTCCTGCTTTGCCCAAGCACAGTGACATTCATGAGGACAGGGTGCTGTGTGGCTAAATGGCTGGCCCCATGTGCAGGTAGGGCTGGTGGCCCCAATCAAGAGCCCTGTCCCCACTAGCCACCTGGAGACACGAGAAGATGGGCAAAGGAAGTGGCCACTGCCCAACCTCCCAAGGAGCTGCATCGGGGCTGGTGCTTTCGCCCACCCCCACTCCCCACCCACCATGGAGCAGGTACCCCAAGGACACAGAGCAGACAAAGATTTCAGAGCTTGGTCTGGGAGGCACAGCCAGGCAGCAGGGATAAAGGACTGTGAGGGCATGAGGTAAACTGAGAATGTCACCAATGGCCAAGGCCAGCCCAGCTTCAAGGTTTTCTCACAGTGGGATCCAAGTGCCACCTCCATTGGACACACTGTGGCCCCTGCTCCGAGGAGGGCTGGGGGTAGAGGGAGTGCATGTGGGTGGCCTCTGCACATCAGGGTGCTATGTCACTGCCCTTCCAAACATGTCTATCCACCCACCCAGCAGGCATTGCTCAGGATTGTGCCTTCCCCTTATAAAGTCCCAACTGGGGGCTCCAGTCAGCCGGCACCTGGTCACAGGGGAGAGAAGACGCCAGTCTGCCAGCAGGGCTACCATCACTCCATGCGCCCACCCTCCATGGGCACAGAGGGTATTATGCCAACTTGAAAGTGCACTGTCCAGGGGGCTGGCACTGCACAGGACGAGCAGATGGGGAGAGTGAACAACTTTGCTGAAATCTGCTGCTAGATGACAGCTTTGAGGAAGAAAGGGGAAAAATGGCTGTAATCTTCTGCTAAAATTTGTCGCCTTATTTGATTCACAGCTGAGAAAACTGTTGAGATGCTGACAAGCATCTCAAAAGGAAAAGTTGGGGACCTTCCTTTGATGCCATGGTGCAATTATTGACTAAACAAAAATATTCCACTCACTTGCCTAGCAAGCGGGTGGCACTCTTTGTTAATGACAGAAGCAAAGCAGGGACCAAGAACTGGGCAGGGGCCACACGCTGGCCACTAGCATGCCTACCTTCTGTCCAGCTGTCTCCGGACCGGGGCAGTGG